ACGCTGCTGCTGCTGTCTCTGGCCACCTCCGATCCCCCCACGCTGCACCGCTCCACCACGCCCGCCACCGGCTCCACTGCCGCCACCACTGCCACCACCATCCCCGCCACCCCCGCCACCGCCGCCGCCACCACCCCCGGTTCCGCCACTGACCCCCCCACCACCAGCACCACTCCCACCTCCGCCACCACCCACGCCGCCTCCACCCCCTCCACCACCACCGCCCCCGCCACCACCTCCGTCACCCCTGCCCCCCTTGCCCCTGCCGCCCTTGCGCCTCCCACTAGGAGCAGACGCAGCCCCGACCCCCTCAGCACCGAGGTAGTCGACAGCAGCAGAAGATGCAATGGAGGGGAGGAGGGGGACGGGGGAGCACCCCTCAAAGAAGGGGGCGCGAGGGTCGCCACGAGAGGCACCTACAGCTACAATGCTCTTCTCAGCTGCTAGGAGCTCCTTCTTGAGCAGCTCGACAGTGAGGTCGGTAGGGAGAGGGCGAGAAAGTGGTCCCTGACAGTGCGAAAGGAGTCAGGGAGGTGGGTGACTAGGTGATAGAGTGTGAGGTACATCGGGGGAGGGTTCTTGGCTAGGAAATCGGGGGGAAGCGCGGCACGGTAGCGAAGATCACTAGTACGGAGGAGCGTGATGAGGTCAGCTACAGTGGCAAAAGCAGACAGATCGGGGAAGAGATAGGGCAGTGAGAGACGGCCTATCGCAGCAGTAGCAGGGGAGGAGTAGCGTGCAACGACAGCGTCGTACTGCTCCTTAGCGGTTTTATGCTGGCCAAAGTGCTCGCGCTCATCTAACGGTAGGTGACTGCGAACGGCTAGGCGAGCATGAGCGTCACGGGTCTGCCATTGTGAGCGAGCAGTGCTGTCAGCAGTTGCAGCAGGTGCGGGAGCGGCGCCGGACGTGTGGTCAAACAGGGAAACATCGTCCTTGGCAGTGATCTGGAGGAACAGGTGCATGTCATCGAGCCAAACGTCAAACTTAATCAGACGGCCCTCAGAGTCAAACGTGAGAACGGTAGGACTAGCCATAGTGGCAGTAGTAGTAGCAGTACCAGCAGTAGCAGTAGCAGTAGTAGCAGTAGCAGTAGCAGTAGCAATAGCAGCAGTAGCAGTAGCAGTAGCAGTAGTAGCAGTAAGAGCAGTAGCAGTAGCAGCTGGAACAGGAATAGCAGTTGCTGCAGGTGGGGCGGCGCGGCTCGGTCAGGGTGGCGCGACTCGGGCGGCGCGGCTCGGGCAGGTAGGGCGGCGCGACGGCGGGCCTATGCACGGTGCGCGTCGGCGCCTAGGGTGCGGCTGCGCGCGGGCCGCGGCTGCGTTCGTGCGGCGGCTAAGCGCGAGCTGCAGCAGCCGACGCGCGATCGCCGCTGCGCGCAATCTGCGACCTGCGGGCAGGCGGCGGTGGGTCGAGCGTCGGCCTAGGGGCGAGCGGGGCCAACGGGCGACGGCCTGCTGGGGCTCGCGAGAAAAAAAATCGGGCCGCCCTAGGCGGCTAACGAGCTACTCGCGCTAAAAACGTGGGGCCGCGCTCGGGCTGCTAGCGGGCTGCAAACGAGCAGCGTGAGAGGAGGGCGCGCGAGGGCGCACTAGGAGAAAGGCGCACGAGGGCGCTAAGACAGTAGGGCGCACGAGGGCACCTCTCGCAGAACGGTGGGCCCTTAGGTAATTGGTCCTAGGTCCCTAACCTAGGCTCTGATACCATGTCAAGAATGAGAAGTGGTTGCACTAGGTCAAGTGTGGGGTACAAGTAGTAAACCCTAAAGTTATCATACCCCATAGTATCTACCCCACTACAGCCTAAACAAACTGTAGCAGATATAACATTTGACAAAGAATTCCTACCCAGGGTTGGCAGACCAGATCTGGACAAGGGCTTGTGTGTGCTGTTTGGTTATGAATGGGTGTTTTGTGCTCATTTGCTCGTTTTCATTTGCCTTTCATAGTCCGCTAGCTCTTTGAGATCTTTTCATCCAGCAGTACGTGTTACGCACCAGCGTATTCTTGTAAGCCTGCTGGAGCCACCGGCAGAACACTTGCATCCTCCACGTAGCGTGGTAGGTCGTATAGGTTTTTTTTTTTTTTTTTTTTGGTCAGCCCGGTTTAGGATATCATCTGTCGGACATGTTCAGTCGCTTATGTAGGCGCATATGTATGCGGTTGAGCATATTTGATCGGCAGAACTTTAGGCTGTCGACCTATATCTTTGTCGTATGTCGTCCGGTTAGGTAGCCGCAGAGGTTAGTCGGGGTGATTTAGATCCGTAGAAGTATTCGGTCTCGATCCATTCTATAGTAGACCTTAGGAAGTTCATGTTCAAGCATAAGGTTGTCGTAGAGAACTGGATCGGCAGAATACTCGGAACTTGTTTTCGGTGATTGATTGTAGAAAATTATAGCGGTAGAACAAAAGGGTGCCGAACTATACGCAAGTTGTAGGCGCAGATAGATTTCAAAGTACGGTAGAATAGTCGGCATTCGTAGACCAATGTGCAGACGTCCGAATAAGAGACGCTCTTAAGACTTTTGCGCTTAGCCCAATATGCATTCTGCCTAATTTCTCTGCATACCCGCGAATCCTTTCCACCTCCTTTTTCTGACCTCCCATTTTTTTTTTTTGTCTAGACTGGGTGCTTCGCGTATAAAATAGGCATCTGCCAATGGCCGACGCAACGGTCCAGCCTCGCCTAGTGTCTGCCCAGGACGCAGAGGGTGAAGAAGAGGACCTGGACGACAAAGAAAATACCGTAGAAGATTACGCAGGGGATCGCGAGAACAATCTCGAGTTTGACACGACCGAGGATGATTTGTTTGAAGGTCATCCCTACGCACCGACCATCGTGATTGAGGAAGCCGAGGGGAGTGAAGGGGGTGAAGGACCGGAAGTCGGTGAAGTGCGCCGACGACCCGGTGAGGCCGAAGAAGCTTACGAGGAGGATGGAGATCACTCTGACAGTGAAGAAGAGGGAGGATCATCGCGACGAGGACGACAGCGCTCCGCTGCGAGCCACGTCAAGCAGGGTGCGGCGGCAGAAAATGGGCAGTGGCAAGAAGGCGTTGCGGAAAATGCGACCAGGATCGAGCGTTCAACAATCCCTCTTCGACTGATAGAGGAAGACACGAGAAGGCACTATTGCTTCCACTTTCTCCACTTCAAGTGGTGGGTGATAATCTTCATGGCAACGATGGTGGATGTCCCTGTGTTCGATAGGCTGGCTCCCTCTCTGCACGACGAGGTTGGGTTTCATCTGAACAATGACTTGGGAAATTATCGGTGGTCGAACACCTCTGACCAGTGGGAGATTCATCTGCACGGGCCGCGAGTCACAAACTGGAGGCTAGGCCGATACATCGAGTTCCTCTTCCACGAAACAGACGACCAGGCTAAGCTATTGCGTGGTAAAATACGGCCAGACGTTGAGAAGTGGGTGGGGAAGGAGGCCAAGGGGTGCACGCCTTCCATGATCAAGGCAAAGATGAACGCGATGGGATGCCTTGCCAGATGCGAGGCGAGGCTCTACGACTTCTCCATCACACTGACCAAGGACTGGATCAAGGAGGCTCGGGATTTTCTGAAAGTGAAGCTGAAGGAGCTGAACGAAAAACAAGTCGCGTGAGTAACTTAGTGGTGTGCTTTCTACTTGTGTAATTCCTTTTCTACATTTCGTACCTAAGTATTGCGTTCTTTGATGCAGAGATGGTCGAGATCAAATCCGCGGATCAATTGGCGATTGCTATACGGCAACCGAGTATAGGACGCTACATCACACGGTTCTGCGAAGAGAGCTCCTACAAATCTGGTGGCGGTCGCCTCCGGCACAAATCTCGCTTCCTCTCTGGAAGGCTCTGCAGACGCCGGTTATGATGCACCTCGGACACCAATTTCTGGGAAGAGGGTGCAGCATTCGAAAGATTCGCCTTCCGAACATGTTTGTCCGCATGACGCGGAGCACCACACACCTCGACGACGATCTGGACGTCTTTGTACTCGTTGTCGTCTCCAGGAAATCGAAGACCAACCTCACCAACAAGCTGAGTCACCAGTTTCTTGCAAGGCATAGGGACTGGCGGCTCTGCGGAATGGGCCATGTTTTCCTCTGGCTTCATTTCATCTACGACCTCGTTCCTCTGCGATACGGCCCCGGTATCGTCGAGCCTCTCGACTTTTCCGAACCGCTCAAGTGGACTAAAGCGCACCTTTTCTTTTGCTTGAAGCAGAAGGACAAGGGAAAGCAGAAGCAAGACGAGATGCACTACAAAACGCACTGCACTTGGATTAAGTGGGCCATCGACAAGGCGAAATGGATTTTGAGCAAGGTGACACATGCGTTCCGCAGATCTGGTGCGCAACAACTCCATGACGACGGTTGCTCCGACAACGATATCGCCACTCTGGGCGGATGGGAGGTGGGCAAGATGCGGAGGTCTTATGTGTTTGGCATTCCGTTCAAGCCGGTTTGGCTTCTGGCTGGATCGAGGAGGGGTGGAAGAAGGTACGTGCGAGGGTAAGAGTCTGCGCGTTCCAATATGGAACTGTATACGCATTTATTTACCGTCGCATTTCTACTGCCTACTCGTCCCCTCAGGTGGAGGCGTGGAACGATGCTCAGACCGACGAGCTGAAGAGGCACTATGCGGGGTTTAGGTTCCTCGAGACCCTCGCGACCATCGGACGCTTCGTTGTTGCACAGGATCTGGCTATGATGTGGGCGTTCTGCCATCAGCACGGCGTGAAAATCCCGCGGTGCAATTGCGAGCGGCATCCATACGTGTAGATGAGCCCCTTGTGCAAGCACCCATTGTTCCAAAAGTGGGCGTACCTGGTCGCTAGCTATCACTTCAAGGGCGAGAAGCTTTGGAAAACCAGCCAAACAACCGCCAAAGCAGTAAGTGTCTGCTTTTAGTGGTAGAGAGAGTTATCCGTTTGAGGAGAGTTCTGACGAGTGTGTTTCTGCAGGATGCTATTTTCCACACGACCGCCGAGGAAAAGCTGCAGAAGATGCACCTCATTGCCAATGAACTCAGGGAGGATCTTGGTAGGTCGAAAGGACGTGAAACGCAGTTGGTGTTGGAGAACCAGAAACTAAGGGAGGAACGCGATGCTGAGCGAGAGGACAAGGCTCGGGTCATTGCAGAGTTCGAAGCATACAAGAGGTCGGTTGAGGCCAGGAAAGCCGCTGCAGACAACCCTGCAGAGGTCGACGGATCGTCGAAGGGCGCTAGGGTAGGTCCAAGTCAGTCAACGGACGCACCGAAAGGACCAGTTGCGGTCGAAGAGTTCTTTGTCGTGGTCGTTGTGCCTTGGCGCGAATTTAGACTGTGGCGGCTGCGTGGAAACTGTGGGTGCAGTCAATCTACGTCATGGGCGGCAAGTCTGTGAGCGATGTCTTTGCAGAGTTCGACCGGGATCCAAACAAGAACAACAGCTTCTTCACCGCATATGCCCGGTTCGCGCCTAAAGGTGTGGCCCAGATGTCCGAGTCTGCATGTGAGCGGAAGATGCGTCGCGTGCAGCTTGTCATGGAAGCCGTGGAGACATTCAGAGAAGACAGTTCCGAGGCGGCGACCGCAGCGGCTGTTAAGCGGCTCGACGATGTGCGCCTCTTATGCAACTTCACGGAGTTCACCAACAGTCTGGCGGTGCTGCGTGAGACTCGCGCCAACAAGAAACAGAAAACCGGGTCGTCGACCGAAAAGAAGACCGGGAACGACGTGGCGCAACGCAGAGTGAGCTGGCTGATAGTAAAAATGGGGCTGTGCGACGAAGCGTGGGGAACAGCGCTCTTTGGGGATGATGAGTGGGGGGTGATCAACAAGGAAGAGCTAGCGAAGGAGAAGGCGGAAGAGGAGAAAAAACGAGCTGCAGAGGTGAAGAAGGCGGAACGGGAAAAGGCAAAGGCGGCTGCTTCGAAACGTTAGATGTAGAAATCAGTGTTTAGGGATTCCTCATAGACTTTGAGTCCACTACGGTTTGGAGGTTATGCCAAATTGGATAGGGATATTACTTAACGCTTCGGGGGGAAAGGTATTAAACAACTAGTATACATTTCTAGCATATGCCCCACAAACACTGTACTGTTTACGTAAGAAGTGTTGAGTTTTATGCCTATGCGACAGCAGAATTCTACATCCAATATTTTCCAATCACTGCATGGATCGTTGGGTCATAGATGTGCGGTTTATTATTCGGCTATTACTTGTAGATGTGCGTTGAGGAAGCACACATAGTTACATAGCACCATGCATTTTTCCGCGAGTTCGTGTCGTATACGATTATAATCTATGGTTCGGCGTCGATGTATTCATTATCAGCATATGTTCCAGTGCAGAAGAGTTTGATATTCTACTCATACCAACGAGTTACCTATCCATGACGTGTTCATATGCGTAGGGTTATCGTATGCGGTAGGATGCAGTAGACGCTTTTTTTCTACCGCATTGTGCGCGGACGTATACGATCTTCTGCAGAGGCGGTTTTTCATTTTCTATAGGCCTTTCCAAAATTGTAGATGTTTGTTCTTAGGCCACTCGGTCGACTTATGCGTTGTTGACAAACCCATAGATGTTATCCCTACGAGGGTTTTCTGCGGTATAGTGTCGTATCCGACTTGGATCGTCGATTCGGCGTCGATGAATTCAATCTCCACGGCAGATGTGTCAGTGAATATGATTGTCGTATACGATTCGTGGCAAGGTGCTCCGTATGTCAAGATCTTATGTGTAGGTTTAGCCCCTTCGTTCGAATGCCGAAGCCGTAGTCTATACAGTTGGCCTATGACGTCCTCGATTTTCTACGTATGCGGATCTCCAGCTGTTTCGTGTCGTAGACCATTTGTCTTCAGGTGATGGCGACGATGGCTTTGATCGTATGCATAGGCTCCGCTTCTGCCATCACATGTGGAAGATCATTTGTAACTAGGGATTGTATTGATTTGAAGTATTTGTCGTAGAAGCCGAGTATTTTCCGCAGATGAAGTGTCATAGAAGCCCGTCGTACCGTCAAGTGTTATTCGGTTGGCCCTCATTTTGATGGTGTGATGCTTAAGCCGCATATCTAGCTTCCTACGCGGCCTACAATTTTCGCAACTGTACGTTCGGTTTGCAAATCAAAAATGAGATCTCTCCTTGTATTTTATACAACAGCACCTATGTTTATACAAGGTTTAAAAATACCACAAAATAACATTTTCTACAGCGATCCTAACAAGACCTCCAAAAAACCCATCCCCTTATCACCCCTGCCCGCCGGTGCTAGTGTTGTCCTCCGTCGACGCCCCCTTCGTCGCGTTCCCCTTCGCGGACGACTTTTTAGTCTTCTTCTCCTTATCCACCCCGGTTGTAGTGTCCCGGCTGCCCAATTTCTTCTGCAGGACTCCGAGGCTGACGCCCTGGTGCTGGCGAAGGCCTCTTGATGCCATGCTGCATAGGCACCAAGTAGTCACCACCTTTGCCACCACCCTCGTCATCCTCTTCGTATCCCCGCCCGTGAGCGACCCTGCCGGAAGCGCTTTCAGCAGCGCATCCGACAGGGGCGGAATCCACGCTTCCTTGTCATGCTCCTGATCCTCGACCAACCTCATCGCATCTACTGCAGCGCAAGCAACAGAGGCTGCAAGCGGCGCAAGGGCATCGAGGACGGCAGAGGATACCGCTGCAGCAGAAGATGACGAGGAAGCAGACGAGGCAGTGACAGCAGAGACCGAGTGGGCAGCCGATGTTGCGATGGCCGTAGAAGTTTTTACGGCAGTATTTGAGGCGCCCGTCTGCCACTGGGTTCGGTCCACATTCGTGGACGCATCCCACAGTACAGACAATGTCGCGGCGAGTCCGATTGCGTGTTCTTATGTAGAGTAGCCGTTTTCACCCTCCACGCCTCCCACGATCTTCTGCCACGCAGTTATTCCAACAGCAGCGCAGACAGCAACCTGAAAGCCATCCCTCTGCTGCTACCGAAGAGCAGCCGTGTTGGTTTGAACGAGTGAGAATCTGCACAAGCCACCCATGTTGGAATATCAGAACCATCGAATTTCGCGTGTGTGTAGAAGTTGCAACTTTCCATCGCAAAAACACTCACCCGTCTGGTTTGTCGAGGTGGAGCTCGTTTAGGACGCTCCACACACCCGTAGGAAGCCATGTCGTGAACCCGAGGTCTTTGCGCCACGCGTTTAAACGGTTGGGATTCATTCCGTAGGCCTCCATGTCAATGTTCGGGAAAAAGAACCTCCAGCAGACTGCGACCGAGTATCCCCTCTCCCACACCGTTTTGTGGGAGCCGAGGTTCCTCTTCCGACCGCCGACGGTCTGCTCTGACGTCCACTTCTGCAGTGGTCCCTCGCCTCGTTGGGAGAACCTGCTTCCCCTGAATGGCAGCCGGACACCCAAAGTCTTACCCAAACCGTCCACTACGGCGTTTCTCCGATTATCACACTTGTCGATCTTCCGCCCTTTTATTTCTCCTTCGGTAACCGGTATCAACTCCTGTATGCCAGCTGCCCGGCGTCTCTTAGACCCTCTGGCTCCCTGTCCTTCTGCCTAGGCCTCCTCCTGGACACCTCTACGGTCTGCACGGGAACAATAGCCACGCAATCTGCTACATTCGCCTCCCCGCTCTCCTCCAAACTCACCCTCCCCAAGCCCTCTGTTATTTCCTCCTCGACTCCCTCCCCGGTCCCCTCCCCCTGCATGGTCGAATCCTCCTCCTCCATCTCCCGTGCCAAACGTTCCGTCTCTTCCGCCATAGCCTTTACCTTTGCCTCCAGAATCCGCTGCTTTTCCGCGTGGGATGCAAGTCTGGCCCTCTTCTCTGCTCGACGATGCCGCCGCTCTTCCTCCTGCTGTTTCTCCCTCTGCTGCCGCTCGGCCTCCTCTGCCTCCTTCCTCCGCGCATCCTGCTTCTGCAGGCGCTCCATCTACTGCTGTTTCTCCCTCTGCTGCCGGTCTGCCTCCTCTACCTCCTTCCTCTGCGCATCCTCCTTCTTCAGGCGCTCCATCTCCTGCTGTTTCTCCCTCTGCTGCCGGTCTACCTCCTCTGCCTCCTTCCTCTGCGCATCCTCCTTCTGCAAGCGCTCCATCTCCTGCTGTTTCTCCCTCTGCTGCCGGTCTGCCTCCTCTGCCTCCTTCCTCTGTGCATCCTCCTCCTTCAGGCGCTCCATCTCCTGCTGTTTCTCCCTCTGCTGCCGGTCTGCCTCCTCTGTTCCTCGGCGTCCACTCTCAGAACCACTGCCAACCTCTTCTCCACCTCACTTAGCATCCCCTCCTTCAACTCCTTCATCCCCGACTTCATCTCCTTCACAGCCTCCATCATCTCCTTTATTCCATCCTCCACATCCTTCTGCCGCCGCTCTTCGTCCAGCTGTTTCTTCTTCCTCAACCGCTCTGTGGCCTCTGCTTCCTTTCTCTTCTCCTCTTCGTCCTTTTGTCTCTCCCTCCTCTACCACTCGGAGTCCTCTGCCAGAACCGCTGTCAACCCCTCTACCACCTGCTTTACCATCCCATCCTTAGTCTCCTTCAAACCCGCCTTCATCTCCTTCATCACCTTCATCAATTCCGTCATCTCCTTCATCCCCTCTCTCGTCGCCTTCTGCCGACGCTCCTCCTCCCGCTGATTCTCCTTCTTCCGTCTCTCAGACTCTTCAGCTACCTTTTTGCTCGCCTCCTCTTTCTGCCTACGCTCATCCTCCCGCAATTTCTCCTTCTTCAGCCGCTCGGCAGCCTCTGCTTCCTTCCTTTTTGCCTCCTCCTTCTACCGCCGATCCTCCGCCTGCTGTATCTCCCTCTTCCGCCGCTCGGAGTCTTGTCTCAGAACCTCTGTCAGCCTCTCTACACCCTCCCTTAACATCCCCTCCTTCAACTCCCCTCCCGACTGGCGAACCTGATCTTTAACGCTTTGCATACTGGCCTGCAAGGTAGAGAGAGTGGAACGGATCTGCTCGCGAAACTCGGCCGCCGTTTGCGCTTCCCACCGCCATTCTTCGTTTCCATGTCGGACCTCTGCTAAGTTGGCGAGGGCGTCACGGCAGTAATGGGCAGTCAGATCATGGACGTCACGAATGATACTCCTGTTGTGGGCCGTAAAGTTACAGAAGGTCTGTGTCATCATTCGCGCTATTAGGGTCAGACGACGCGTGACCTCTCCTGGGGTGATGTCCCAGCTCTCCTCCTCGACGAACCCGTCCTCCTGTTCAACCAGGACCGTACTCGTGCGCCGCAGCATCCGCCGAATGGCCGCCTCTGCCTCCACCCACTCTACCTCCACCCACGTCGGCATTTGAGGTCCGCTCTCCTCTAACTCTCTCTCGTGCTCCCTCTGCATTTAACGTTCCACTACAACCCTCGCCGCGCCGTCTTCAACCCCTCTGCTTGACCTCTCCATTGTATTTCCCAAAAACCTCCGCACCCACAGATCTACCCCATCCTCCCCTCTATCGGCGGCAACTGTCATGTGTTCTTCACGTCCTATGCGATCATCTCCTGCCGACTGAATCGGCTCCACGTCAGCCCTCCTCTGCACCCCTTGGTCCTCCAAAATCCTAGCGTCATTTCCGGCTTTCTGCGCCTCCTCCTCCGCTGCCTTCTGCGCATCTGCAGCCTCCTTCCTCTTCGCCTCCTCATCCGCAAGCTTCGCCGCCTCTGCAGCCTCCTTCCTCTTTGCCTCCTCATCCGCAAGCTTCGCCGCCTCCGCAGCCTCCTTCCTCTTCGCCTCCTCCTCCGCGGCCTTCTGCGCAGCCTCCTTCCTCTTCGCCTCCTCATCCGCAAGCTTCGCCGCCTCCGCAGCCTCCTTCCTCTTCGCCTCCTCATCCGCAAGCTTCGCCGCCTCCGCAGCCTCCTTCCTCTTCGCCTCCTCATCCGCAAGCTTCGCCGCCTCCGCAGCCTCCTTCCTCTTCGCCTCCTCCTCCGCGGCCTTCTGCGCAGCCTCCTTCCTCTTCGCCTCCTCATCCGCAAGCTTCGCCGCCTCCGCAGCCTCCTTCCTCTTCGCCTCCTCCTCCGCGGCCTTCTGCGAGCTTCGCCGCCTTCGCAGCCTCCTTCCTCTTCGCCTCCTCCTCCGCGGCCTTCTGAGCAGCCTCCTTCCTCTTCGCCTCCTCATCCGGAAGCTTCGCCGCCTCCGCAGCCTCCTTCCTCTTCGCCTCCTCATCCGCAAGCTTCGCCGCCTCCGCAGCCTCCTTCCTCTTCGCCTCCTCATCCGCAAGCTTCGCCGCCTCTGCAGACGCATTTTTCTTCTCCTCCTCCTCCGCGGTCTTATGAGCCTCAGGAGTCTCAGCACTCTTCGCCTCCTCCTCCGCGATCTTCGACGCATCTGTAGCTTCTTTCTTCTGCGCCTCCTCATCTGCAAGCTTCGACGCCTCTGCAGCCTCCTTCTTCTTCGCCTCCTCCTCCGCTGGCTTCGATGCCTCTGCAGCCTCCTTCCTCTTCGCCTCCTCCTCCGCAATCTTCGACGCCTCTGGAGTCTCCTCCATATTCGCCTCCTCCTCCGCGCTCTTCGATGCATCTGCGGCCTCCTTCCTCTTCCCCTTCTCGTCCGCAAGCTTCGATGCCTCCTCCGGATTCCTCTGCACATCCTCCTCTGCGAAGTTCTGCTCCTCTGCAACCGCAATCGTCTGCCAGTCGACCTCTTCGGTCCTATGGGCCTCTGCATCTGCTGTCTTCTGCGTCTCAGCATCTGCCTTTTGCTGCGCCTGCGCATCCGCCATCTTCGGCGCTCCTGCTTCTGCGAGCTTCTGCGTCTCCTCCGCCGCCTTATTCTGTGCCCCTGCATCCGCGACCTTCTGTGCTTCTGCATCATTCTTCCTCTGCTTATCCACCGCCGCGATTCTCCGCGCCTCTGCGTCCGCCTTTTGCAGCACATCCGCCTCCGCTATCTTCGGCGCCTGTGCATTCGCAAGCATCCTCGCCTCCGCCACCCCGCCTTCCCGAAATTCTACCGCCCTCTTCTTGTGCGTATCATCATCTACCTCCTTTTGCGCCTTTTCGGTCGCCTCTGGCTCGTCGATGTCCACTCTCTGTGCCTCTTTGGCCGCCTTCCGCTTTACCCTTGATGCGCAACTTTTCAAGAAACCCACGTCCTTCTCTGTCCGCTGCCGAAGATTGCAGGCGAGATCCACTCCTCCCACTCCCACGTCTGCACATGCCGTGCCGCGTCCCACACGCTCCATAGCATCACGGGTGTCACTCGGTTGCAGCGGATCTTCTACACCCGCCTCTCCCGGTTGCTGCGGATCTTCTACACCCTCCTCGCCTTCCTCCAATCCCCCCGCCAGGTCCGTCTGCAAGTTTCCAGCCAGCGTCCCCACCCCTTCTCTCTACGTCTCGGTTGCGCGACGAGCAGACCTCCTAACACGCTCCGAGAACCTGAGCTGTTGGCCTCCCCTCCTCCCCCGTTCATCTGCTGCGGCTATCCATTCTCCCGGACCAGGGGCTCTGCGCCTCCGGGAATAAGGTACTTCCGCAACCGTTGGTGCCACTTCTTCTACTGCCGCGGCACCGTCTCCCCGCCTATTGTCCTCGCGTGCACTTCTCTGCATCAACGCCACCGTCACCGCCTCGGCCCTCCCAACTCTGCCGTCTTGGTCCGTCTCCGCATCTTCGACCCTTTCCTCCACCGTCTCCACCTCGTCAGTCGCCTCATTCCCTACAGCAGGTGCATCGTCCTCAAACTGGTCGAAATAGGCACGGCATCCACTCACAAGCATATATCCGACCTCGTCCTTATTTTTGCCGGGGCCTAAGTTGATCATGTTGTCTCCGCTCTGCAGCGCTAGGAGGTCTCCCCACTTGTCCAAGAGCTTGCTAAACAGGTGAGTCACTTGTAGGCCCGATCCCACCTTATGTCGGCCCTGTACCTTGTTGATCTGCAGTAAACCAAAAAAGAAACAAGTAATGCGTTAGCGCACGAAGACCTTTCACACAGTGTTTAGATTACACAACCATAATGAATGTAAACATACAGCTCCAATTTCGACGTCCAAACAGTCGAGTCGGACTTTCATGTCGCGGATGACCTCTCCCATATGCCCGCCTCTATATACGCCGCCTCTGGTGTACTCGACCTCTAGTTGCTCGAAAAGCCACCTGTATCGATTGAAAGGGAAGTTAGATCTTGTATTCCACGTGCGGCATAATGATAGGCAAAACGTTTTAAAAAAAAAAGGCTTACTTAGAAACGTTGATAGCAAACTAGGTGTGGCGACGGCCAGGAATAGCAGACTTGGGGTCGAAATGAATGACGCGCGTACGGTATTCGCCTCGCGGGGAGGCCAGCAAATCCTTGGGATTCAATAGAACCATAAGGCTGATTGATGCGCCGGGGGGCTCCCGAACTCTGCCATGCAGTAGTTTAAGATACGAATGATTAAACGCACTTCTTGAAGTTCTCAACTAATACATAACAAAACACTTACGCAGAGAGAAGGGGTATGATAACCATCTGATAGTCGAGCAGAGTCCGATAACCCCTTCGGCATGATGGCACGCGTGTTTCCTCACTTCGCAAGCGACGGAGCTCGCTTGGAGCGATAATCTTGACGTCCTTAAGCTCTCTTGGACCAAGCTTGTCCTTGGTAACTTCACTGCGTGGAGGACGGTCGATCGTGGGGTTATTCAGCGGCGTACGGCGGAAATATATGAACACAGAGGCGCTCATCATATGCAATATTAAAAGCGTAAACAACTTACAGGAGGCCGTACACTAGTAGAGCTTCGTTCCACTCTGTTTGGTTCTTGCACAAGCTGACGTAGGATGCCTTTCCGAGTCGTACATGCACGCCACACCCCTCTGTAGTCAATACTCTGCGCATGGCTAACCTATTTTTTAAATCGACGCATATGGTAGACTGTGAGGCCACAAGAGTACGACCTAAACTACTACTGAATTTCAAGAAATAGGACTATTAGACGATCGCCGACCTACGCAACGATTCACGAGCTAACTCTGGGTGTAAGATTGGAGTAGAATCCCGAAAGTGAGCAGACTGCCAAAACTGAGCAGCATAAAGGGCTCCAGAACGAGAAATCAACCCACGGCCCCCATCTCAACCTCTCGTGTTCACAGCTTCTTGGTATGACACGGTATAGTATGGTACGGGGGCCGCTGGTTTTGGCGCGCTTTGTTTCCTCGCACGTGATCAACCTTACTTAGACGAAGAACAGCAACGTTGGATTGCGCATGCAGATATGCGCGCCAGATTAAATATTCTGCGGATAGACTGGCAGAAATGCAGCCACGTACGTTTCCGTAATCTTCTTCGACCAATGAATGTTGCGTGCAAAAGCAACCGTCAGACTTCAATCGATGTGGATTTTCAGTACGTTCATACACCAATCATGCACGCGCTGTTGTCTACCTTATCTGCAAGGCTTGCATAAACATACCGTCTCCCAACGACTGCATGGTCGCAAATCTGTTGCGGCTCCGTATATCACGCACACGGTCAGACCCTGAAAAAAAAAAAAACCATAATCGCCTCTGACGTGTGACAGGCTGTCCCGAGGTTGCCACGTAGAAGCGACCGCTCCGCATGTTTTCGTCGATAATTTCGACGCATATGTGCAGAGAGCCACTGAGCAACATCACGTTAGGGCGTGTGCACTTAGGGCGAAATTTGTCAGAGTCGAACGTTAACCGTTTTGCACCGTGGCGAAACGTCTCATGTTAGTATCGTACGGAGTAGAATCTCGCTAAAAGTTCGAACTTAGACAGAAGTTCGAACGCCTAGTGCACACGCCCTTAGCAAGTCTTTGTGCAGGCCGAGAGCGGCGTGTAGAGTGTTTCGCTTACCGTCTTAGGTGGAAATTGGTTCTAAAAAGAAATTGCAAGTACAAAATACGGCAAAAGGTAACTAATGTCAGATTTATATGACATAGCTACTGTAGGCTACAGTGGGGTAGCACATATGGGGTACAGTTTTCTAGGGTTTGCTTTTTGTACCCAACTTTCACTTAGTCATTTCATTCCTGTTTTCTTAATTCACATGGTATAGAGCGGGTTCCTATATGGGACCGTTCCTTCCTAAGGGCCCACCATAACGAAATTTTTTTTTAGCTGCCCGACGCGCATTGCGCCCCTGCCCTAAATTTTTTTTTAGCGGCCCCCCCCTAGCGGCCCCTACGCGACCCCTACGCGGCCCCTACGCGGCCCCTACGCGGCCCCCACCCGGCCCCTACGTCGCCCCTGACGCGGCCCCTACGCGGCCTCTGACGCGGCCCCAACGCGGCCCCTGCCGTGGCCCCTGCCGCGGCCCCTGACGAGGCCCCTGACGCGGCCCCTGCCGCGGCCCCTACGCCGCCCCTGACGCGGCCCCTGACGCGGCCCCTGACGCGGCCCCTGACGCGGCCCCTGACGCGGCCCCTGCCGCGGCCCCTGCCGCGGCCCCTGACGCGGCCCCTGACGCGGCCCCTTCGCCGCCCCTGCCGCGGCCCCTACGCCGCCCCTGACGCGGCCCTCTCCTGCACCTGACGCGGCCCCTAGCGGCCGGCCGCTGCCGTCCCTGAGGCAGCAGCCGCCGCCGTCTCTGCAGCAGCAGTCGCAGCCGAACGGCCGAGCCGCCGAGCCGCCCAGCAGCCGAGCCGCCCAGCCGCCGAACCGCCCAGCAGCCGAGCCGCCCAGCAGCCGAGCCACCGAGCCGCCCAGCAGCCGAGCCGCCGAGCCGCCCAGCAACCGAGCCGCCGAGCCGCCGAGCCGCCCAGCAGCCGAGCCGCCGAGCCGCCCTGCAGCCGAGCCACCCGAGCCGCCCTGTCCGGTAAGAGCAGCGCCCCTTTCACAGCACTGCCCTCACCCTACTGTTTGCGCTGCTAGTCTACTACTGTCATGGCTACCCCTAGTGTCCTCGCTTTTGACGCTGAGGGTCGGGCCATTGACTTTGATGTCTGGATAGATGACCTGCAGCTTTTCTTACAGTGCGACAGGGCAGACGGCCTCTCCCTCTTTGACCTCACTTCTGGTGCCTCTCCTGCCCCCGCTGCTGATGCTGACGCCACTGTTCGCTCACAGTGGGCCACGCGCGATGCTGCTGCACGTCTTGCTGTGCGTCGCCACCTGCCTACCTCTGAGCGTGCGCACTTTAGCCAGTACAAGAGTGCTCAGACCTTGTACGACGCTGTAGTTGCGCGCTACTCCTCCCCTGCCACTGCTGCACTGAGCCGCCTCATGCTACCGTACCTCTTCCCTGACCTTGCTGCCTTTCCCACAGTCGCTGACCTCATTACGCACCTCCGCACTAGTGACACTCGCTACCGCGCTGCGCTTCCTGCTGAGTTCTGCTCCAAGAACCCCCCCCCCATGTACATCACCCTCTACTACATAGTCACCCGGCTCCCTGACTCCCTTCGCGTAGTCAGGGACCACTTCCTCTCAGTTTGCCCCACCACTCTCACCGTTGACCTCCTCGAGAAGTCCCTCCTAGCAGCAGAGAAGAGCATAGTCGCTGTAGGAGCCTCTCGTGGTGACCCTCGCACCCCCATCTTTGAGGGGTGTTCCCCCTCCCCCCTTTTGCCCTCTGTTGCCTCTGCTGCTGCGGCCGACCTCGTTGGGCTTGAGTCGGTCGGTGCGGCGTCTACCCCTAGCGGGAGACGTCGCCCTGGCAAGGGCAAGGGGGGCAGGGGCACTGGAGGAGCCAGCGGGGGCGGTGGAGGCGGAGGTGGAGGTGGTGGAGGGGGTGGGGGTGGCGGTGGGGGTGGTGGGAGCGGAGGTGGCGGAGGTGGAGGAGGAGGCGGCGGAGGAGGTGGAGCTGGTCGGGGTGGCGCTGCGCAGAGGGTCGGCTCCGGTGGTGGTCAGCGCCAGCAGCAGCAGCAGCAGCAGCATCAGCGCACTCGTGACATCCCCTCCCCTCAGCAGCTCCGTGAGTGGTACACTGCACGCCAGAGGGGTTGGGGTACTGGTCCGTGCACCTACGTCCTCCGCACCGGCGACCGCGCGGGGGACCAGTGCGGGGATGCGCACTCCACCCAGCGCTGCTTTGGCCGCCTGACGGACGCTTGGCGTCACCAGTTCCCTGAGGCCACTGAGATCCCCCGCTGGGGTGAGCTGTCTAGGGCGGGTGTAGCTGTCTTTGACCTTGACTTTGATGCTATTCTTGCTGCCATGTATACTGTGACTATTAGTGATGAGGGTGACTGTTACCGGTGTTTTCCGCCCGACCCGGGCATTGAGACTGCTGCTCTAGGTACTGGTGAGGCTGCTGCTCTAGGTGCTAGCGAGGCTGCTGCTCTAGGTGCGTCTGCTCCCTCAGGTGCTGGTGAGTCTGCTCTCTCAGGTTCTGCGTCGGCTTCGGCCTCCCACACCTTCACCCTTGACTCGGGGGCTTCTCGCTCCTTCTTTCGAGACCGCACCACACTCACGCCGCTTGGCCGGCCAGTTGCAGTCTCTCTGGCAGACCCCTCTGGGGGTCCTGTCCTTGCTCACTTCTCCACTGTCCTCCCGTGTCCGGCGGCCCCCTCTGGCACCCTGTCTGGTCTTTACCTCCCCTCGTTCTCTACGAACTTGGTGAGTGGTGCTGACCTACAGGATGCGGGGGTTCACCAGTTCACTCCTGCGAGTCAGCGGGTGACCCACTGCACGGACGCTCGGACAGGCCGACACCTGGCCACGTTTACACGTCGGCCGGGGTCGAGCCTGTACACACTGACCACTGCGTCTCCTCCGGTCACTGCGTCTGGTCAGGTAGCTGCGTCAGATCAGGTGTTTGCTGCAGCGTCCAGGTCTGGTCCTGAGTCTGCCCCCTGTTCGTGTCGCCTCCTGTCT